GGAAGGACAAAAATCTATATTAGTGAATAGAATATAGAAAGATAATTACCTCTTCGCGTGATGGATACAATATGTTCTTGAAAGGAGCACTGATTCTACTCTGTACCGAAAACGAATATTTAAAAAAAAAATAAATAAAAGACTATTAGCGCGTTTAAATTATAGTTCACGAAAAAACACAGCTTCTAATTTCGCGAATGGCTATTATAATAAATTGAATTAGAGCAGTTGTGCTCTAAAAAATATTGAAAATACTATCTCGAAACAAACACTGACTCTATCGACTGCATTGCTCGCAGTCACAAATACTCAACATTGAGATCCAGCAGAAAACAGCAAAGACTCCTTTAACAAAATATAAATTATCATTGTAGTATTGTTCTTCAAAACACAGCAGTGATTATACGGTAAATTTTAAAATAACATAAATAAATAAAATAAAGAATTATAATTCTAATAAATTCTAGTAACGATAAAAATTGAAAATCTAATATAAAAAATGAAATTGAAACTTTAATAAAAATTCTATTTTTATGAAAGAATAAAAATTTAGTTAAAATGAAAGATAAAGTGATAATTACTTCTTTGCGTAATGGATGATCGCCTTTTTTTCTTGATACACTGATTCTATTCTATACCAAAAACGAATAATTAAAAAAAGAAATAAATAAAAGACTATTAACTCGCTCGTTTAAGTTAAAACCAACACTGATTTTAATTCCGCGAATAACTGTTACAATTAAATTAAATTGAAGCAATTGTGCTCTAAAGAATATGGAAAATACTTTTACGAACTAACCACTGACTCTATCGACCGCATTGCGCGCGGTAAAATTTTCTGAAAATAAAATTAATAAAGAGGAGTACAATAAAAAAAAGGAAGGAAATATTATTTCAATATTTTTCTTCTCCTTTCTATTCAGTCATTTTGTTTCAGACAATATTATTCTTCTGAAACTAATATTTCAAATTTTTCAGTAAAGAAATATTATAGATAAATAGAATATAAAAGAATATTATGAATTACTTAACAACGATCAATAACAATCCAATAAAAATAAAATATGTATAGATAAATGGTATACATACGAAATATCAAATTTTATTGCATCTTCATGGAAAAGCATGATAGCGTCCATATTGAAATTTTTCCCGCCAAAGTTATTCCAGCAAGTAGCCAATAATCTGTATAATCTGTATAAAATAAAACTTTCAAATGAATCTATATATAGATTTGATTATATAGATCGATTAAATTAAAATAAAATAATAATTAAACTGAAATTTAATTTTAAAAAGTCAAAAAATAAATTATTTCTAACTCTAACCCTCAAATATATGAATAAAAAAAAAATAATAATTTACCACTCAAAAAACTTTCAATTATATATAATAAACACGTATTGATTGACTGTATGTATGTACGAATGATAAAAAGTAGCTATGGAAGTAAAACTATTCGAAAAATTAATTACGTACCTCGAGAAAAAAAGATTCGTATTAACACCACAATTAACGACACTGCAATGACGCTTCGCGCCATAATTTCGATTATCGAAATAGAAATCACGAGAGAGTTCGATATATTCGATAGTTTGACGAGTAATGTATGTAATACAATATAAATAAATTAATCAATTATATATTAATTATTTATATTAAAATAAAATAATTACCAATTATATTATTATTATTATATTAAAATTGAACGATAATCTAGCTAAGATATTATTTTAGAAAGTCATAATATGATTTATTTGCAACTCTAACCCACAATAAATGAATAAAAAAAAAGAACAATTTAGCACTAAAAAATTTTTAATTATAATAATAAACACGTATTATTTGATTACGCGAATATAAAAAATAATTATGGAAGTAAAACTATTCGAAAAATCAATCACATATCTCAAGGAAAAAAGACACGTCTTAACACCATAATAATCGACACTACAATGACGCCACGATTTCGATTATCGAATTAGATGGGATACGATCGACAATTCGACAACAAATCGAAACATGAGCATTGCACGAATGCGAACGATCAATTTTTTTGGAAGAATTGTTACAATAAAAAATGTTTATATTCTCGAGTAAAACACGGATCAAAGAGAAAGATATTATTAAGATTATATATGTAAATAATATAGATAGATGCATTTAGAATAAAAATATGTCAATGAAATAATTTAATGAAATAAAATTTAAATTATAATGGACTAATTATTGTAGATTTGTTTCGATAGGAATGAATCTATTCTAAATGAATATGTTTTTATGAAAAGAATAAAGTGTTACCTGATATACGAGAAAATCATCGGCATAATAAATCGTCATGCTGTTCGTATGTAATAAATCACCGTTTTTTCAAAATCATATTGGCACAATCGAACAATAATCTGCACAAATAATAATCAAAATTATAAAACAAATATATAAAATTAAAATTATAGTAAAATAAAGCAATAAATGAATTTAATTCGTAAATTTATAATACGAATCACTCATAATATAACAGCCGAATAAATGATCGAAGCAAAAAACAAGAAAACTCAAAAACTAATTAATTTCGTTTTCACAATTTTACTTCTTTATTAATTTTGTAATAAAATAACAATCGAATTATTTATTGCGTAGTCAAAATCATGCACTCTAACCGATAACACGTCCTGTCACGATGCTTTTTGACACAAGAATGATGTCTCGCGCCATAATTTGTCTACCGGCTTTCCTGATTGGTTGAAAAATGATTGCGTACCATAAATTTGTCTAGCAATTTTCTATTGGTTGAAATAATTTATTTTTATTTAATAAAAAAACCGCGCGAAAAATTGAAATATTGTTACTGTAATACAATTTATTAAATATAATTTAATTGTGATTTTCTATTACATCAAAATTTTACGAAAAAAAAAGTTTTATAAATATTAAAAATGTAATAATGATAAAGTATTAAAATTAGTTTAACTTAAAATTAAGAAAATTAGAAAATGTAAATCAAAATGTAAAAAATTAATAAATTTGAAAAAATTAATACAAAAAAAAAAGAAATTTAAATGTTTTTAACTATCGTAAATTATAAAAAGCATAAAAAAATCTATGATTTTTTAAAAAGATATTTCAAAAAGCATAAAATTCTATAAGATGTCATATCTATTCTGTACTTGGTCTATGATGCTATTATAGTACTTGATATAATTGTATAGTATTGAAATAAAACTTAAATATATGTATATATATAATTATATACTTATTTTGCTGTAATTTTGTTCTTCTGTATCATCTATGACAATGTGATAATGAATTATGTGTTAGATCTGTGAAATGTATGTATAGTATACTTTTTATATAAAAGAAAATTAATGAATGACACGTGGATTTATTAAGGTTATATACATATAGTGTGTAATATAATATTCTGTGAAACAGTTGATTTAAATATATTATTTAAATATTATTTAAATATTTGAATTAAACATTATGAATTATGATAAATATTATTAAAAATCAATATGAAATTTTATACCAATTCAATAAAATCTTGTACTGCTCGTATTGGAAAGTTAACAGAATTTAACAGAATTCCCAATAGTAATTTTGAAACTCCTCTTGTTCTTGTTTATACAAAGGTAAAGTTTAATGTATATATAATTCGTATATAATTCATTCGTATATAATATATAATTCAATAAGTAAATAAAAATATTTTATTCAAAATTTTATTATTAGGGAGGTAGTGTACCACATTTAACTAAAGATGTTTTCAAAATGGTTACTTCAGATTTACAAATGTTATCTGTTCCACTTAGTTCTACATATCTAATGTTAGAATCAATAAAGGATTGTAATATTAATTTTGCAAATTTTGTAGGAATGAAGGTATATTATATCATAATTTTTCAATAACATTCCATTCATAAAATTTAAATAATAAATATTTTGTTTTTTAGGAATATATCAATATTCTTACTTTGCATGATCCAGCTTATGTTACACCTTCAGGTTTTCAAGAAATGGATTTCACTCCTATATGGACTAGAAAAGGAAAGTGTAAATTAACTCCCAAGAAATATATGGATGTAATTGAAGCATTTAAACCAGATATGTATGTTGCTTTGTATGATGGAGATACCAAAATTAATAGTAGTAGAAAAAGATTATCAAATGCTATACGACGTAGTACAACATTCTTTGAAAAATGTTTTTCTATACATTCTTCATCTGAAACATTAAAATCTTCAGAAATATTAGGTGTAATCGAAGGTGGTTATGATAAAGAAGCTAGAGCATGGTCAATAGAGTTTTTAAAAGATAAACCTTTAATTGGATATGTGATTGATGGATTGCATAATAATGGACCAAATGTAAAGGATATATCAACAGAACAAATTAAAGAAATAGTGGAATATACAGTTGTGAGTAATAATATCTCTCTTCTGTATTTCTACATTTCTTTATTAAATGTATTAATTGCAGAATCTTCTACCTGTTGAAAAACTTAAAGTATCAATGGGATGTTGGAATCCTCTTACAGTATTAGATCTTGTTGAGTTAGGTATTGATGTATTTGATACATCATATCCTTATATAATTACCGAAAATTTAGAAGCTTTAACTTTCTTATGTGATCATCATGATTGTAATAATATAGGACATGTAATATCATTTACAGAAGAAAGGTAATTGCTGATTTAATTGCTAATAGCTAAAACAGAAATTATTATAAAAATTATAAAAATCTTTTGTTTTAATAAGAAATATTTTATAACAGATATATAGATGACTTTTCTCCTATTTGTCATGTCTGTGAATGTCTTACCTGTAAAAATCATACTAAGGCATATCTACATCATTTGTGTAATACCAAAGAAATGCTTAGCACAGTTCTTTTAATGATGTAAGTTCTATAATAATATAATTTGTAAGTAATATTAATATTTAATATTCTATGACGAACATATATATTGATTTGTGATGAATTTTCAGACATAATCTACATCAATATTTCGAATTTTTCAAGATTATTCGAGAAAATATAAAAAATGGTACTCTTGGCGATTACAAAAAGAAAATTAATTTAAAATTTAAACAAAACAATGTCGTTCAGACAGATCAGCAAGACACAATATCTATATGTTCTTAACACAATTTTAAAAAAATATTAATATTTAATAATACTTTTTTAAAATAATAATAAATAATAGTAGTTGATAATTATTTTTATATTCTTTTTTTACAAATATGATAAAATTTAATTACATACAAATTTTATAAGATATTAATAATTATTCCGGTAAAAAATTAGGATCTAAGTAATTGTAAGAAGAATTACTAAAACTTTGTGGGAAATAATCCAAATCATAACTTCTAGTATACTGAGGTGGCTTAATAGGAAGTAATCTATGTAATGTATCATGTAATGGTTTTTCAGCTTCTAATTGTGCTACTGCACAATCACCACATAAATCAATTCCATCTTGGCATTCTGTACAATGCCATCTCGTACCTGTCAAGGGATCTTCCCCACAAACTAAACACTGTAAAAAAAAAAAAAAAAAGAAATCAATTTTGTTTTAATTCCTTTGTATTTTTTGTATGTTTTAAAAATATTTTATATACATACTTTATATCCAACGTGTTTATATACAAAAGATGAATTTTGTTCTTTCTCAGCTTTTACTTGTTTCAATAATTCTATATGTCTCAATTCTGGATTATCATCAATAATACTATTTCCAGCATCATCTTCCTATAAATATAAAGAATAAAATCACACTGCAAATTACATTTTCATCAAATTATAAAATTGTTGCAATACATACAGATTCTTCTGTAATTGCTTGTTCTTTGCTTTCATCAGGCATTGTAAAAGACATATCTTGATGAGGAAAAAATGTAGAACGCCTAAATAATGAATAGTTATTACGTTGATGTCTATGACCCATTCCTTTTTTAACATCCAATTTCATTTTAGGACCTCGACCAGGTATAGGTAATCCAGCTCTTAAAAGTTTAATGAAATATTTCTGGACTCTACTAGATACTTGTTTTGGAGTTCTATTACCTATTAAAAATTAAAATTAATCTATATATTAAACAAGAAAGATATTAATAATATACCTAAAGCATTAGCTATTTTGGTCCATCTTCTCATTTCTACATCCTCTGGTGGATATTCTATTAAAAGTTCTTCTAATCTTCTTTGTTCTTCTACTGTCCATAACTGATTGAAAGTCTCTGGTTTACTCTCATCAAAAGCACGTCCTCTCACTAAAATCTTTTAATTATACATATTTATATTAAATATATAAATTTTATACATGCAATAAAATAAAATAAATAAAATAAAGTAAAATAAAATATTTATATCGAATATATAAAGCGTAACATACTTTTCCATTCTCTTGTTCTGACTTTGTTTGTACATGAGGCAAAATATGTCCATGTCTTGTTTGAGGTCTCATACGCATATCAGGTGCAGCTATATTATATTGAGTCCAATCAATATAAGGAATTTCTGCAATTTTTTGTGATCCTGGTAGTTCTGGCAGTTCACCATTTTGTATCTGTGCTACAAAAGATATTGGATCCTTCAATGCTTTGGAACGAATTGATAAAAGTTTATCCAAATCTTCTAAAGCTTGAACACGTTGAGCTTCAAGAATTACGATTGTTTTTAAAAGACTAGTATAATCTTTATTCCTTTTAATGCCAAATGATCAGATTCGAAATAAAATTCATTTGGTTCCTCATCTTGACACTTTTTTTGTTCATCTTCCATTGCTAATTAATATTTAGCATGCCCGATAGGTTATATATATATTCACCGTAACACCTTAACCTTAATTGTCCGTCAAAATAATCCACATTAAAAACAGAATGTTAAATAAAATCAATGTATTTATATTAATTATTACTCCATTTTCAATGATATGTGAATTTAATTTAAAATATGAATGATTAAGCGTAAAAATTGCGAAAATATTTTCACAATACGATTTTAAAATGCATACTCTTCATTCTAGACTCTAGACTCAGCACGTGTTGCAAACGTAAATTCAAACATTAAATATGTTATAGAAGAAAATTAATGTTTTATATTATATATTGTATTTTTTTTTAAATTTCGATTTGTAATTATTATTAAAATATTATATTATATTATTTTAATATATTTGCATTTTAATTATATAAAAAAAAAATTTCAAACAATATATAAACGAAATCATTTAACATCATAAATGAAAATATTGTAGCTTCAAAATATAAATCATAGAAAATTTACAATATTATAGAATTTTTCTTTTTTTATAGTATTTCTTCATTTCAAATAAATAATATGCTTTCATAGTTTGCGCAATCATTATTCATTGCTCTTTTCAAAAATTTGCTTTATCTTTAGTCCAAATGTACTTTCGATAAAACTATACGAGGAATAACACAAAGGACATAATCAAGTAAGTTAGTCATCGGTGAAAGAACATAAATATAAAGAAGAATATAAATCGGCGAGATATTTCTTTTTATAATATTACCATTATTTTATTAAATATCGAATGAAATGCGAATTATCTTATCAAACATACTTCTTTATAGCGAAACTTCGTAACACTTCAAAATTTAAGCAATTTCAAGGTGATACACGTTCGGTTCTTATTTCGGTACAAGATCGGTCAATTTTACGCTCTTTATAAATTCAGTACTTATAAAATAATTATTAATTGACCGTAAAAGTATATCTTGTATTTAAATTATTATTTAAATTACGATTTCTATTTCTATGCGTTTAAGTCTTTATTCATTTGTATTCGCAAAATTTTTCAAACTCTTCTAAACCGTCTGGCTGATCGTCAAAGATATCGGTAACGATCAGGGTATGAAGTACTCTCTTATCAGGGGGACCATCGCACGCCTGTAAAAATAAGCGACTAGCTGACCCGTTAACACTTCAGTCTCGTTCTGGACATCTTCCGATAACGTCGTACTGTCTTCGATCCGGCTCTAAGGCACGAGGAAGCCGATTCGTGTCTTCATTACACGGATTGTATGTAGAGCCTGATCGAAGGCGGTCTCAAAGTTGTGCGTCGTGCGTCTCGCGCGATGTACGTTTGAATTCAAAAATAAAATAAAGTTTGTAGTGCTGGTGAATTGGATAATAACGTGGTAATCGTTACTTGTCAAGAGTTCTAATCAAATATTGTGCAAAATGGAACAAGTCGAGAAAAAGGGAAATGAAAAAATTGCGCTAAAACGAGAGTTAGGCCTGTTCAGTGCGGTGGGCATGATCGTGGCGGTTATGATCGGTATGAAAACAATATATGAAAGACAGGTCTTAAATTAATTTTACACGATGTAACAATTCGAGATTTCGTCTTAGTTAAGTCCAATTGAAAAATATTAAATAACAAGTGTTTTCTTCCGGCATAACGTTAGAGCACGTTATGCAGGGTCAGCAAGTATGAATTATTGATTTTACACCTTTTACTTCTTTATTTTTTTCATTATTTATTTATTTATTTATTTACTTATTTATTTTTTTTTTTTGCGCAATATCATTTTAATCAATTTTATTCGACTTGTTAATGAACTCAGCAGATAATTGCCGAAGGCCAGAAATACGTAATGCATTATCAGCATCACATATGTTCCACTTTATTATGCTTACATAATGAAATTTTAATCCTTAAACGTAACATATTCGAACAATGAACTTCTGCTTAAATAGGATTTCATTGATAATTATCACTCTATTCTCTTGTGAAAACATATTTATATAATGATATAAGACGCTTAACAATACTTGAGAATATTTAAAAATAAAATGTGCGAAAAGGTTTTAATCATCCTATTATATTTTATCAATATTTGACCCAAGAGTTATGTAAATATAAAATATATTCGATACATTTCGAATGGTATATGCACAATTATTTAATTCAATGCATATGTTATTGCAAGTGAAAGTATCCCTGCATTTGCGCAGATAATAGCAAGTCAATATCGGTACTGTTACATTCATTTGAGAGTTCATTTGAGAAACGATAACCAGAGCTACTGTTTAATTTTAGTAAACCGTATATTGTAAAACGTGTAATACTCTCGTGATTCGTTTTTAACGATATTCTGATCTTTTCTGTCAATACTTGATATACGATTGATATAATATCATAAAATATATATATGTAGATAATGTTTCTTTGTAAATCATATTTACTCCCGGTTTAGACGGTATTATCTAATAATAAATGATAATTGATCGTATTAAAAATCGTATAAAATAAAAGAGAAAAGTCCAATAGAAGTGTTTCTTAGTATCATGTTTAGATTTAACAACACTTAAATGTAATTGCATTATTATATATAGGCTTGAATAAAGTTCGACTTTATACTTACGCAGATTATGTTCTTCAATAGAGATTCAAGACATCGTAGTTTTTTTTATATTACCCTTTCAGTGATTGTATTCATTAGGGAGATTGAATCTTATTCGACAATTGTACATTTTCATTGTACACAAAATTATACATTCAGTTATAACCATACAACAATATGTATTTCATTTAACTGGAATATTATTAAAATAAATATTAGATAGAAAAAAACATTTTGAGCAAAAGTCATGCTAATTATAAAACTTTTATCATCGAGAATGTTTTTCGAGAAAGTGCACGATCGGATGAGACTTCTCAAATAGTTCTCCAGATTATTATTCTGCTAAACCAGTTGGAATCGAATTAATGGAAATTGGGGGCAAATGTACATAATATGCGCAATTCTTTAGAAATTAATTATTAATCTATAGAGTTCTGTGCACGATAAAAAAAATAAAACGTGATGTAACATTTCGGTAATTATGCAGAAAACTTTGACACGATTATAAATTAAGGGGTTAATCAAGGTTAATTGCTGACCCACGCGCTCGAGTATTACGAGATATTTTCTTTAAGTATATCTACTCAATTTTAATCAAACTTTGCAGTCTAACTGCAAATTTATCTTGTTTACTATTTATTTGTATATGTAAATTTGCAAGATGACTTTTTTCCATTAAGATCGAATAATATACGTCAAATGATATTTTTATTAAAAAGCTTAACACAGAACGTTTTTAACGTACGTGGTCGTGTAAGTTGAATTTCGTTTAATAACAAAGAATAAAAATAATCATATTATTTTGAAAAACTGAAATATGAAATAAACAATGATATAAAAAGTAAGAACGATCATAATAAACGGTATTTAAAGTTTTAATATACTTGCAACATCGCGATAATAAAAAAAAAAAAAAACATTTTTTGAAGATATTACTAATTGCTTATATTTTTTTTAATAAATAATAAATTGATAAAAGTTACGATGATAAGAGTTCATATTTTTTTTGTTTCATATATATATTTTGTTTTTACAAATAAAAATTGACGATCATTTTGTCCTTAGGTTCCGGAATATTTGTATCCCCCACTAGCGCTCTCGAAAGATCAGGATCTGTCGGCCTTTGTCTGATCGTCTGGATTTCTTGTGGCTTATTATCTCTACTGGGGGCACTCGCGTTCGCCGAATTAAGTACAGTCGTTCCACGATCCGGAGCTGAATATGCTTATTTCATGGAAGCTTTTTCACCCCTGCATCAATATGCCGGCCAAATACCAGCATTTATATGTTCGTGGGTTTACGTAATGGTATTACGACCAACAGAAGTGGCGGTAATCATGTTGACATTCGCCGAGTACAGTGTACAACCGTTTTCCGGATATTTAGAAAATCTTTCTGAAGAATGGATGTTCAGATTAAAAAAACTCATAGCTATCCTAGCACTCGGCCTGATCACGTACATTAATTTAACCAGCGTGAAATTATACGTGAAAGTTCAAAATATATTTACCGTATGCAAAATAGTTGCGTGTATTTTCGTGATTTGCGGTGGAATATGGTGGTTATGCACTGGTCATACGGAATTACTGGAGAAACCGTTTCATGGTACTACAACTTCGGCAGGCAACGTGGCGCTAGCGTTCTATAGTGGATTATGGGCCTATGATGGATGGACTTCCGCCGCAATCGTCACGGAAGAGATTCAGAAACCGGAATTAACATTCTCAGAAGTATTTTAATCGGTGTACCTCTGATCACCATTTTATACGTTTCGATGAATTTGATGTACATGGCTGCTCTAACGATACCTGAAATGGTAAGAGCACCAGCTGTGGCAGTTCTCTGGGCGAAAAAAGTTCTACCCTCCTGGTTGGGCTTTGTGATACCTCTGGGTGTTGCAATATCTACTTTTGGATGCAGTCTTAGTATTCAATTCGGAGTATCCAGACTTTGTTATGTAGCCGGTCGCGAAGGCCACGTACCCAGAGTTTTCAGCTTTGTACATATCGAAAGAATGACTCCCGCCGCGGCAGTAGCATTTCAAGGAATACTTACGTTACTTTATCTGCTCACGGGAGATATTATCGCACTTATCGAATTTGCAAGTTTCTTAACATGGGTATTTTATGGATTTGCCATGTTATCATTAATAATCATGCGACGAACGAAACCAAATGCATCGAGACCATACGCGGTGCCGATAGTAGTACCTTGGCTAATATTAGGAGTTTCTATTTTCTTGGCTGTAACACCAATCGTGCACGAACCAACACCGAAATACTTGTTTGCATTGTTATTTGTTCTTCTTGGCATTGTTGTTTATCACACGTACGTGTATAAAAAAGTTAAAAGTAATTTGGCAAGTGAGTATAAAAAACAATTTTCTGTAAATTCTTAATAAAATTACTTTATCTCGTTTGTACATATAATTTGTTTTTTTTTTTTTCAGCGAAAATCACGTACCTGATCCAGGTATTATGCCTTGTCGTTGCTCCAGATAAAGAAGACTGAAAAATAATTTCTCATTTTACATTTTAATTATATATAAGACCGTTTAAATTATACGATATGGTTGAGGTTGAAATATATTTAATAATTCAATTGAGAGATATTTTTAAATCTCTTAATATCCGTTATTATTATTAAAAGGGTAACAATATTAAATTTATTCATTTTATATTTTTTAATTAAAAATTTTTATAATATATAACAAATTTTTATATTTGTGCAGTATTGTAAAATATTTAATAATGTAACTACAAAGATATAATAAATATTAATTACGATATAAGTATAAAATATAATTAATGGAAATGTCAAGTATTTATTATATCTTTACATAAATATACTTTTACTAAATATCACAATACTGTAATATCAAAGTTCACAATAATATCAATATTTCAGTATTATGATGACAATAAATACTATTAATATCAATTATAATTCGATAAACGTAATCATTATCTATACGATGTAAAATACTACAAAATATATAGAATTTTATGAAATACCAAAGATTAATATACTTTGGCATATATTCATAGTCAAATTGTAAACATTTACAATCATGTAAATATTTACTTGTCAACTTTACATTTTGACATTACACAATATTTATCTATTAAAGTTGTATAAGGCACCTGTATAAGGCTTCTCAAAGTTACATATAAAATTATATAAGTTTAATACTAAGAAAGCTCAATGTACTTATTATGTTAAGAATTTTTTATACATCTTTTGCACAAATTTTGCACAAAAATTAAGTTATTTTGTATAAATTAGTGGAAAATACGTAATTAAATGCATAAAATATACTCTAAATACATCTTTAACGAATAACAATTATTTATATTATAGCAATTCAAACAGCAGAAATAAAGCTGTTTATTTATATTAGTCTTTGCATAAAATATTTTACCAATATCAATTTATAAGTTTCTAATTTATAAGAAGCTGTTACTGAGATGCACCACATTTTGGACAAGTATGTCTTTCACTGAAACAATAATTATAATTTTGATATTTATTATAAATACCATTTATTTATATTTATTTATATACTTATAATATAAATACCATTTATTTATATTTAATTATATACTTATAATATAAATACCATTTATTTATATTTAATTATATATTTATAATATAAATACCATTTATTTATATTTAATTATATACTTGCCTTAATATTTGATGTAATTTTTTGCGAAGTTCATTACATAAAGCTGTTTCTGCTGCAAGAGCAGAGTCTCTTTCTTTTAATTGTTGTCTTAAATGATATATAGTATCTTCTAATGCTTCAAAAATTGCCTGCAAAAAAATAGAATATAAATTTACTTTAATTAATATAATAATAATAATAATAATAATAATAATAAAAATATATATATATATAAAATTTTATTTACTCTAGATTCTTCTGCAGTATCAGATAAAGCAGGTGGTTCATCTAAACAAAAAAATTCTCTCACACATGCAGTTCCTATGAGAAGAGGACTGCTTAATATTCCATTGACAAATGCTTGAAGACCGCGTATTCTTCCTTCTAAAAAGCTTGGTGCAAAATTATCACCAAGCCATTTTTTTCTTGGTAAGCTTAATTGTGAAATTGGAATTTTCTGCCTTCTTAATTGTGATAATAAACGAACAAAATCTGTATATCTTCTAAATACAAACCAACAATCTCCATTTTTTAATTCTACTCGTAATTTATAAACCTGAAAAATAATTACTGAATATTGTTGTATATTTAGTATAGACAAAAAAATTAATAGATAATTATAGGAAAATGATTATTTCAACTAACTGTAAATCTAGCTCTTTCTTCCATAACTTCATATCCAACAATTGGTATTCTTAAATCATCACTAGTTAATGGAGGGTGCAAAATATCTGAGTTTGCACTATCATTATTAGAATAATTAAACCGTTGCACAGTAAATGAGTTTGAATGTCCAGATCCATCAGAGTCCGGACTATCCAATGCTCTAACAGTGCCTGATTGAGAACCTTTTGCTTTACTAATTGCAAGTGTAACTTCACTAATACATCCTACACCAGATTCTGACGTGGACATTTTACCACCAATAAATTAAATGAAACCATGCATACTTAAAAAGAATTAAAATAAAATTATTATGAAAGTATACAATAAAATAATATGGACTGATGCAATAAATATTATTTTTTTATTAATTGCATATAAATCTATTTGAAATTATATATAAAAATAATTAATATATTTATATACATAAAAAGAATAAAATGCAAACATAACATTTTATAGATACAACAAAAAGTAAAAAAGAAAATATAAAAGAACAATATAAATAATAATTTATAATAATTTCATATTATAATAACATGCTAAAAGTGAAAACTTAAAATTCTAACAACAACAATACAATATTATATGTTACAATTAAAAGAAAACACTAACCTCAATATAAATAAATAAATATAATATACAATTTTATAACTTTTTTTTCTATCTAGACTATATTCGCAATGATATCATAATTTATGAATCTTTTTACAAAATGTTACATATCTTATAAGTTTAAATTTATTTAAAAAATGGAATAATAGGAAAACTGCTATGACATATTGAAAGTTTGCAAATATACTCTCTCTGCGAAATTGTAATAAGTTAGATGGTAAACTAAATTGGAAACATAGATATGTATAAAAAAATTTCTAATTTACCATTGATATTTTAAACTTCAAAAATTCAAATTGCCTAACTTTAAATAATCAGAAAAATGAAATATTTCTTATCGTATTTTCTATTTTTCCAATATATATATATATATTTAATTTTATTAATATCGACTTAATATTTTTAATTTTGGTAAAATTTAAACAGCAATTTAAAAAATATATTCTTCAATAAATAATTTAAAAAAATAAATCTTTCAAAGTTTAATTTCTTTAAAAGTCAGCATTTTGATATCTTATTAAAATCAATTGCACAATACATAGATGAGTACGTATTCTATAAATTCTATATACGTAGCTATGCATATCGCTTTTGCTACGTGACAGTTTTCAAAAAATAGGTTATATATTTCGATGAATTTAAATATAAAAAAGTAAGATATTTAAAATGGGCGAAAAAAACACTAATAATACTTTAGTTCGAAGGGTTAATAAATTGCTCGAATCAAGAGTTGAGAATGACAAGGTATTTACATTATATTATATTGTAATTATATATGCATTTAATAAGAAATAAACATTTCTTTTTTAGGATACATTGGAAGCTTTAAAAGAATTATCCACATTCTTTACAGAAAATACATTGAATTCTCGTAGAAATTTACGTAGTAAAATTGAAAGAAGAAGTCTTGCTATAAATGAAGAATTTTTATCTGCTTTTAGAGAAGTAAAATCTTCTTTAGACGGCATATATCAAGATGTTCTAGCTATGAATAATGCAGTTCAATGTATGACAAATCGTTTACAAACTACAAAAACACAAACATCACAGCTTATTGATCAAACTGCAAAACTTCAAAATAAAAGGTATATTTACTGAATGAGTAAATTTTTATTTAAAAAAAAGAAAATATATGAAATATTAATATTTTTAGTCAAACTTTATCTATGCAACAAGAAGTTGCAAATGCATTTATTAAAAATTTTCAATTGACTTCATCTGAACAAAATATTTTACATGGTTCTACCAGGGAATCACCTATTACAGAAGAGTTTTTTTCTGTAGTTAACCGTGTTCAGGTATAATATTTATAAAAAAAATTTCAATCAAAAATGAATTAATAATAATTTAAATTGTAGGAAATCCATAGCAGTTGTAGGATATTAATGCAATCAGGATATCAAACATTAGGATTAGATATTATGCAAAGGATGACTCTGTTACAAGAGGCAGCTCTTGAAAGGCTATATAGATGGACACAAAATCAATGTAAACATATTGAAAATGAACGTTTAGCACCATTATTAATTAAAGCAATGAATAAATTACAAGATAGACCAGTTTTATTTAAGTATGGATTGATGTCTAAATATAACATTACTTGTCTGAAACAATTTATAGTTATTACCTATATTTTTTTAGATATGTGTTAGATGAATATTGTACAGCAAGAAGAACTGTATTAGTGGGTTCATTCATAGATGCTTTAACATTAGGAGAAATATACGGTAGTACACCTAATCCTATTGAAATGCATGCAAATGATCCCAAAAGATATATTGGTGATATGCTTGCTTGGCTTCATCAAGTTATTCCTGTTGAAAAAGAAAATATTCTTACTTTAGTAAAAGGCTGTGATAAAACAGGTAAAAATTAAATAGTTGTTCTTTTATTTTTATTTTTCTTATTTTTTTATTATATATTTTAGATTTATCAGATCAAATTAAACAATCTTTGAGTAATATCACAGATGGACTTTGTCATCCTTTGAAATCAAGAATAGAAAATGTTATATCTGTAGATATACCAGCAGCATTATTATATTCTGTTACAACTCTTCTTAGATTTTATCACATGATAATTCAACAAGTAATACCAGATAGTACCTTAGATTCAACATTAACAGATTTATTAACATTAAGCGAAAAAAGTTTTTTAAGTAGACTTCAAAAGGAGACGCGTATTGCGCTTGGCGAACGCGCAGAACCTCCAGGAAATGATTTAGTACCTGCTCCGTCTGTTTCCAGATTATTATCACTTCTTAATGAAATTCTTTCTGTAGTAAGTATTGCAGAAGATAGAGAGAAAGATATGCTGCAGGTTTGTGTCACATTACATTTAATTATTTTACGAAATCAAATATATTTTTAATTTCACAAATCAAATAATTTACAGATAGTATCGTGCATTATTGATCCTTTGTTACAAGAAGTTAATGAAACAGCATCAAGATTACCTACAGTAGACATGGCTGTATATCTTTTAAATTGTATGCATCAAATACAATCTACCTTAGCATTGTATGAATATATGGATCAACGATTAGAAAGATTACAGGTAATTGGAGCGAATTTAATACACGAATGTTTTATGTACATTATTGTTAAAATAATTGTAAAGTAATATTTTTCAGGCCCAATCTGATGCACAAATAGATACTCTTACATCAGAACAAGCCAGTTCATTAGTAGCGCATTTAAATCTTGGTTCAATTTATACTATTTTACAAGGTCATGAACAAGGTCCATTGTCTTCTATTCCTGGAATGGATCCTCTAAGTGTGAAAGAATTTACAGTATGTTAACCATTATTCTATCATTTGATGAAAAATATATATTAATTTTATTGCAAATTCTTAATATGTTACAGAACAAACTGGAAGCATTTCTAGTAATGCCAGATGTATTATTATTGCCACAAATAAGTTTATTGCAAAGCAGTAATCATCGCTCGATAGTACAAAAACGTTCTTTTGAAGTTATTGGAGCTATTTATAAACAATTATATGAATCTTGTCATGATCCAAAAAATTTGTATCAAAATGCAAACAGTTTATTTTCAAGAACTCCCGAGGATCTTTTACAAACATTGATTTCGGTTTAAACGCAAATTGAAAAAAACATTTTTTAAACATAACTATATGGAAGTTAAATGTGTAAATAATACATGATTGTAAAATATAATTTTAAGATTTTAAATAAATTTATTAACTTATATATAGAAACGGTTTTATTTTTGTATCGATTAGAAATTTCTTTGTTATAAAAATAGTAAAGAAATTTATAGGTTAATTCAATATGGTTATAACCTATTCTCTTCGATTGTATTTTTATTGTTTTTACAAGGTATAAGTTTCCACACGATTAGTTATTTTACTGTTCTATCGGAATCAACCAATGAATAAAAGCTGTAGTCAGTAAGATGATGTAAAAGTGACATCGTGAACGCACCTTTAGCGATAGCGGTGGAAGTATAGTGCGCGCGCCTTTGGGCCACGATTGGCCCGGCACTTTCCGTCAGTCTTCAGTCTGGTGCGGTGGAATGCGCTCGTGTCTGCATTTTGTTCGCGAGCCGCGCGTCTTTCATTCATACTTCTCTGTGGTAGTAATTTTTTGTCGTTTTCTATCCAAAGATTTACATTCAAAACATCTCGTCCCTAAGATCGAACGTGCGTGGTAATATATAAAATGCAGACACTTCCAACCAGATCGGTAGTGTAACGTTCATTGCTCGTGTAAACACAATGGACTTCGTCGTTCCATACACAAAGGACGGATAGAAAGCAGTGAGTGAGTGAGTGGAGTATAGTGTCCAAGATGGCGGAATCAAGCTATTATCAGGTGAGTCGCAGGTCCATCCACGCTCTCTTTACGAACTGGTCCGCGTTGGTCGCTACCCGACTGATGATTCCAGCCGCCATAATAAAAGATTGCTTTGGACGTGATTTAACCAGTTTGCATATTACTTTTATCTCCTTTTCGCGATCTTACGCCGACAACACGCTCGCACTTGTCTCTACGTTCGCAGAATGTTTTTCGAAGATGACGATGATCAGTGATTTCTTCTTAAACTATCTATTATCTTTAGTTTGATTTATATTAAATGAGATAGATAGATTGTATATCTTTGATATCGCTTAAATTCGTTTAATATATTTTCAACAAGTTTCCATACAGTTTCTGGTAGCACCTGTTCCTATCGGCAAGTGGTATTTCCTGACATTACCAGCATAAGTGTACAGTTCGAATACGTTTATCAAAAGTATAGTCGAATAACGGCCAAGAATCCTTCTGACAGGAACATGATTGTATAGAAACTCCATTATAGCAGACACAGCTTTTAACGTATCATCGTCAAATTTTATATTTACGATTATCGATTCTTTTGAACGTTGATATCGAATTTTTTTCTAACAAAAAATTTACATCGAATTTCAGATTACATTATATTTTCATATATATATTCAAAATAAAATATAAAATATTCGTCGTATTTTCAAGAAATTTTGATCTGTTTACCATCGCGCGAAATATGAAAAATTTCATTTATTCATGATTTAAATTCGCATGTTAAAATTCATCGATGCAATTACAATCATTATTATACAGTTTTATTTGTTCAACTTTGCTAGATATACGATACTTTCGCAATTTGCTAACAGATGCTTTTCGTTGTGCGTAACCTAAAAATAAAATGGTACACCTCGCAGCGCTATACTGATCTCGAGTTCTATTTTCTTGTAACGATTAATCATAACATAAATGGCTATAATTTTTGAAGGGCGAAACTTTGTCATTAACGATATTGCTGCGTTCTGCGTGTTACAACTTCTTGATTATTGTTTTTATTATTTTTTAAAACATTATCTTTACTTCACGACTATATATAAATGTTACAGATACGCAAGATTTTAAACTATCTCATCTTACTCATAATATTTAGATCTGTTCCATGTCAACTCAATATCGATGAAGCTGTAAATGTTTTGATCACCGGATGATTTTTATGTTCTTGTTACTACAATGCTTGTGACGACTATTGACCTCTCGAGATTATTATGCATGGCACACATATTACGGAATGCATGAAAATAGCTCATGCGTCAGTGTGTCAAACACGTATACAGATGCATACGTTTGTTGAGGGTTCGTTGCTTCTTTAAATTCCACCCACCCGATTTTGTTTCTCTCGTAAAAATCGTATCTAATTCCCGAATTATATAAGTTTTTTTTGTATCGTTGCACGATTTAAATTATCGATGCAAATTTTTTTTCTAAGTTTCCCGTCCTATCCTCCTAACTTTACCGAATAAAGTAAGGTTAATTATTGGAATATTGAAATTTAATATAATACGTTTGTAATAAATAATAAATAATACGTAATAAATTTAAATTGCATCGAGTGGTGGGAATTTTAAGTATAACGTGAATAAATAATATCACATTGATTCACATTGTCTCGAACGGCGGAAATTTTTGAAAAGAGATTAAGAGGAATTCAACTCATAACTCCTATATGTAATCTCAGTTGTACCAATGAACGCATGTTCACTAGTTTTACTAATTACACATTTTTCATTGAGAATATACAAACGTATATTATTTTTCGAATCATTAAAATTTCAAACTTAAACATTTGTAGATGTATCAAATAAACAGAAATAGAATATCCCTCGCATATATTCTTTGCAATTAAGGATATATAGATTATTATTAAGATTTTATAATACGATTTATTTATTTTCTATCATATAACAAATATATGGCGAACTCGAACCAAAAATGTATAATCAGATTTGTAACGAGGTAGATGATTAATGCTGTTACTTGAGAAAGTCGCAACACTGTTATCGCACCACGATAAGAGATAAAACATCGGCAAAGTCTTTAGTCAGTCTATAGAAATCCACAAGTCAGTCACGTACATGCCATTTCGTCCATCATAGATCTGTTTTATATATTTATTTATAGTGAAGTGGACCGTGGATCGATGAAAATTCAAGTATTCGAATGTGATGAAAAGAAAATTGAATTTGTGAACGAATTATTCGAAGCTCGTCACGAAGATAAGGCTCATACACCGCGGTTTGTCGCAACAGGTGGTCAAAGTGTGCAGCCTAGATTCTCAACCGAATGTTGTTACCAACGAGGAACAATTTTTAAAAGATTGATCGTGTATAATTATTTATTAATTTCGTTTTCTCAATTATATAAGTCGTCGAATTTTTTTCCACTGGCAGAAGTTAATGACCTTTGTGATCTCGTTGGACCAGAGTGCGTAGATATAAATGCGAATTTGGAATATTTGGTTTCACGCGTCAAGTAATGCGAATACATATTTTAATATTATTCCAATAAAAACTGGAGAAAGGAATTTCCGAACGAAATTCTGTTAAAGATTAAAAATAGAGAAAAATTCGGTGCACGATGTCGTTCATTTCTTTACACGACAAGAATAAGAAGCCGAATACGTATCGGTGTTTATCGGTAAGAAAATCGAGCCAACCCAAACACCGATGGAGCTGCATTGAACCATACATGGTACGCTTTTAATGCCTTTAAACAATTTCGTAGGTTGTATCGATATAAATGTCTAACACGTGCCATTGATAAGTCAATTAATTTCATAACAGACATATCGACCACGATATGTTGTATAAATATTTATTTAAAATAAATAAAATCGAACGTGTAGGAAGGGCAAATGTACAAACAATCAATCATTTCTTCATTTTATTATATTTTCAATTATATATTTTCGATAATGTTAATCCTTTATTTTTCTATATATATATAAAGTACTTACATACGTGGACTCGAGATAGCGCGATAGCGCCACCAAAATTGATCGAGTCATCGTTATCTCATATTCGATCGTCAGTCGAAAAATTTAAATAATTTAAATATAAAATCGGTCATTAATTAGATTGTTAACAAGTATATATCCAATATACGTTATTTTCAGATCAATATTTCCCGCGACTCGCCGCGAGTTTATAACCGTGGTTGTTCCGAGTAGACAGCGGTGTGCACATCCGCCGCAACGCGCCAGGCAATTTCCGGCCGTGCACGGAGAGAACGTGTATTATATTCCGCGACGTTTTTCCCTCGCAAATTCACAAGCCCAGCCTCGTCCTTCTTTCTTCTTCGACGTTCCCTGTAAAAATGTAAATGTCATTGCCAGGATTAAACGTGGAAATGGAAAGGGTAGGCCGACGTTTATTAATCACCCTGAAGAGGAAAAAAAATTTTGTTCTCGTTATATACGATTAAATTATCCGTTTGCATCTATAGAAAAGCAACGACATTAACGGCGGGTCGAAAATAACTCTGGATTCGCGTCATTTTTTATTACCTAATTTTAATCGATCGGGTTAAAAACGAGCTTTAAGGATTAAATATTGCTCAACCATGATATTAGAGCAACGTAGTAGTAACAACAATGATAAATCGATTTGGTTAAACCTTCTGATTTATCATCTTTTTAATACTACGATATTAAGTATAAAGAAATGGAGGAAGGGGGGGGGAATAGAGAAAGAAAAATAACGTAACGTTGGAATAATCGAATTCGAAATCTGTTCCAGGGCGATTACATCAGGCACCCGGTGTACGAACTGTCGAGCAAGTATGGAGTGGCTAGCAGTGACCAGGTGCCCTTGCCGGCTCGTCTCGACGAGCTCCGGGAGCACATACGCCGAGAAATACGCAAGGTATGTCGAGTTTCGTTTGTCCTTCTCCGCGCTACGCCTCTTCCCCGAAGCTCTCTTTCTCCCTCTTTCTCTCCGTACACCGCAATATACACGGTAGCATGCTGCTCGCGCGAGCAGCACCGATCCCTCGCACGACAGAAGAGTATCCTTTCGCTGTTCCTCTCCTCGCTCGTCCTCTCGATCGTTTCGTCTATCCTTTTCCGTTCTTCTTAAAAGGGGAGAGGAACGGAGAAATCCGATATGTGTCAGGCCACCGTCGATCCACGGCACGCCCGTTGAAAACCGGCACGATCCACGTGACTAATGGATACCGGGCAGAATTTATGGTTATTCCCCAGGAGGGGGAAAAGAGAGGAAAAAAAGAGAGCGCTTTCTTCGTCCGTTTCGCGGGCCAGCAATAAGATAAGAAATTATGAGCCCCCCGTTACCTTTTCGTTGATCGTAAATCGATAACGAGTCGGTTTTAATACTTTACACATGACTCGAGGTGCTAGTCTCCAGTCTATGTCTCCTTGAGTGCGAACACATTTGGAAATTCGCAAAGGAGAATTACTCTCTGGAGGATACCGCGTTGAATGTGAAAGTTACTTATCGGTTAGTCATCTAATACGATCTAGTGTCCCCTAGCGAAAATTAATTTCGAGCGTTACTCGGAAGAGAATATTTTATTACGTATTTTCAAATGGATTTGTTGTATCCTTTTTTTTTTTTTAAATCTCCATTGATTTATACATGAAATTCATTCGAAAATAAAATTCTCCATAGTTTTTTTTTTTGCTAGGGAACACTAGGTTGCGAACGATCGTTCAAGAATAATTATTACTCTCAATGTAATAACTGTTAGCGAAAAATAATTATGAATGTTAATAACTGGAAGTAAGATGATATACATGACAGAAATCGCATTCGAAAGATTTATTAAAATAACTCTGAAAGATCGCGAAAAATATTTTCAAAATGTATTAACACTTTTGACACGATTCGAATACGAATATTGCTGTGATTCAATACTCTTTGCAATTTGAAATATCCAACGTATATTCTCGTGATTTCGATCGGATCGGATGATAATCAGAACTTGCTATAAAAAAATATATTATATATATATATATAGTTGTACAATTCATATCGATGCAATCATAAGTTGGTGCCGTGCATTATCTTTATTTACGTAACATCTTCTCCGTGTTCAAATCTTATACACAAACAGTTATAAATCATACTGGGCGAAGTAAGTAAAACATTTCACGTACCAATCTCGCTTTCCTACTAGTAACCTAGTAATCATTTCATGCCGCTCGCAAATATTATTCACGGGTCAGTCATGATTAGAAGATATAGCTCCTGTCAGGTGTGCTCGCCGAGTAAAAGTTAGCGGGGAATATAATAGAAGGTAATAGAATGAAAGGATAGCCTCATGAAGCCTGATATAATTTTACGTCTCATTTGCCTCGGGAAAGGAGTGGTATCGACGCGCTCTAACGATTGATAGATCGATAACAACAATAGAACGAATTCTGTGAAGCGAAATTCCGCCCCCTCCATGTGGTTCCATCTATGCGGTGTATCGACGAACTACATGTGGCGAATACATATTTATTCACCTTCGACGCAGTCGTCTCGTAACACAAAAGGCTCGCCATAAAACGACGAGAAATATGCATGTATATGGTTGCAGGAGCTGAAGATAAAGGCCGGCGCCGAGAAGCTGAGAGAAGTGGCGACCGATCGTAAAGCGCTCTCCGACGTGGCGACGATCGTGAAAAAGTCGAATAGTAAGCTGAACGAACTGCAGGCCGAGCTTCAACAACTGGAGAGTCAAATTATATTGACGCAGGGCCAGCCGCAGTCGCCCCAGCAAAATCACTCGAACGGTCAAGGTAAGGCAAAAGAGAGAAGTCGCACGGCAGATACCATCTTTGTATTCGCCTTAACGCTGCATGGCATTGACCGAGAGGATAAGGCAGACTCATGCGCCGCCTAAACGGGTTTTATGTAATGCCGCGTGTTAGACTTCGTGCCGATCAATTACTGCTTCGGCCGAATGGCGGTTCGTGCGCGCGAATACGCTCGACCCATCGATACTATAAACGAGTTCAAGGATTTTTTTAACCGGAGACCGTGCGAAATCGTGATTTGGTGCGGCGCGTTATCGGTAAGATGTTGCAACTTATGAAAGAATCGTAAGAAAAAAAGAAAAAAAAGCATTAAATTAATCGTAATCGTTAAATTTTCGTTGTTAATATTTATTTTCTTCTCTCCTCGTCTACCGTGGAGGAGGATCGACTCGGTAGTGTGAATTTAACCGAGCATTTAAAATAGAATTCCAGCACTACTTGTTACCTAAACTGTTGTATTATTATTTTATTTTTATTTTTATGTTTTCTCGTAAAATCGAGTCGACGCGCAACCGTGGCTTCTTTTCGACATATCAATTACATATTTCTGCTTATTCACGAATAACTTATCGATACATCGGGCTTAATGGCCAGTGTTCCGGTATGTACCCTTTCTGCCGCACGCTAACGACTGCTCTCTTTATCTCTTTTTCTGTGTCGTTAACGAGCAGCCACTTAATAAGTCCACCCGCTAACGAGTCGTCGAGACGTCTTCGCTTTATAGAGGCCAACCGTGCATGCGAGCTACTGCTTTATTACTGGCCTGGCAAATCGAGCATGCCCAACTATCTGGAGCCATAACCGTTTCGCTTAGCGATCGTTTCATCGAGGATCCAGCGATCGACGGCCCGATAAACGGCTCGTTGAAATATGACTCGATGGAAAATAGGCACGCGTTACTTTTTTCATGATTTAAAATTTGAAGAAAAATTTACGATCCTCTTCGGTATAAAACGTGTATATTAAGAGATTATGGAATGAACGAACGAAATACGAATGGTATTAAATACGTAGAAATTGATATATTTGCGGTTAAATTTTTTTGTTTCGAGAGGCAGAAAATGGGATCTCGGCCGAGAATAAAATTCAATTTACTCGCTTAAGCGCGAATTACTTGTTGTTTGTACGCTATGTATGAGTCATGGCTGGACTTTGAAACGTCTGGAAGTTTTTGAGAAATTATAGAGTTGCAACGATACTTTATATACCGGAAATAGTGCTCTCCTGGCATTTCCAGTCACCGTGGCTGGTCATTTCCCTCGCTTGGAACATTCTCTGGCGCGTACGTACTACGCTGTGCAGTCGGTGGACATAAATTAGGAACGATTAACTGCGATCCTCGTAATCAGGGGTCGTGGTACTCTGAATAGTCACCGGCGTAGCGTCAAATTTCAACTCTATCGTGCAATTCGCGATTGCGATCAATGCACCGTCTTATCTATTATTACAATCTAGCGAGTCAATTTATTTCTTGGAAATTGAACGATTACAAATTCGCGATACGATACATTCCTTTTGTTTTTTTTTTTTTTTAAATTGTCAGAATTTTTTACCTACTTTATCATTATCATATTCTAGATATTAAGATTAATTTTTATTACATTTTTCTTACACAATAAGGAGAGCAAAATTTTCGTTACAAAATTCGGGAAAAAATGCGACAGATTCGAATCGATCTGTAAATGCATTCCACCCTATTCAATCACGTAACCGCTGTTTTCACCCCGGCTGTGAAGGGTTAAAGTGAACGGCACGGGGCGGTACGAAATTGGCAGTGCTCATCGGCCGACCTTGAAAAGACTAGTTACGCCACTGGGTGGCACTTGGTTATCGGTGCCGCTTCGTGACGCGCCCGAGGCTTTCGTACGTATGTTCACTTATTCGCTCCGCGAATCTTGTGCTCTCTTTGAATTGATGGTAAGTGGTAACGTCTATTTATGGACCCAGACGCGCTCTATCCACTCCAGTTAAGCCAGTCATTCGTGCATTCTGGGGACTTTAGCAACCTGCCTCCGGGCCATCTCATTCAACTCCCCCTTCGAAGGGTTAGAATCCATTCAGAATAGTGCAACCACCTTCTTGAATATCGTTATATATATATATTAGAAATAACTGGTTTTCAGATGGAACAACTTCTCTTCGAAACTATTCTTTCTAATGGAATTACAGTAATGCTTGGTTAATTGAAAAATTAGTAGATAGAACAATTTTTGGAATGTCTGATTTCCAATCTCGTGATCTTTCAAATATCTGAAAGTGTTTAAGTTTTTAAGTTCAAGTGTAATTACAAGCTTGATAGTAATCAATATATTTTGCTATTTATCATTTATCATTGTTTCAGATTAATTATTTATCATCGATGAATTACCAGGCAATTCATAAATCGAATTCATAGAAAAATCATGCTATAATCTATTGTATATCCCTTTTTCAACGTTGTTATCAATAAACAACGAGAGCGAATGAATTTAGAATAAGATGATATCGTGTGAATGAGACGATGCCACGGAGAAAGTACTTACGTACTTCCCTCCTTTCCTCCGGCAAACGAACGCCGCGAGGGAAGCAACAACGTATCTTTCCTTCACTTTCCAGCTCTCTCGAGTTCTGTGCGTGTAAAGCTTGTTCTACACCGGCGGATAATCGCCCGCGGACAATCCGCGGATTATGAAAGATAAAATATGAATCTTCAGACAGTCCCATTATTAGCCTGTATTTTAATGGTGGTATTCTAGAAGAGAGAAAGTGGATATGCATTATTTATGTCTGATGTCACAAGTTGTAAAAATCTTGATAGTAAAAAGATTATTGCGCAACGTAGGTTAAGTTAACCTATATCAAATTACACGACGTTATATATATATATATATATATACATGTGTGTGTGTGTATGTGTGTGTGTACAGAATTAATCAAATTAGAAATGCAAATCGAAACAACTTGCTTACCCGACTCGATAATTCGATTATCGTTGAAATTTTTAATCAAATCGATCGTACTACAATTTGTGAACAATTTTTGTACATCTCTCTTTTATGAATAATTTATCTTTAAAAACGAATTATCTCGTTTCGTATTCTATTTCTGAAACTTTCGTTCTATAATTTCGAAACGGGTTCGCATGATTTGTGCGTGGATTGTAAATAATAGCAGGCCGAGAAAACTCTTTTGAAACGTTACGTACGCATCCGCACATGCGCGGAAGGAACGTTATCGAGTCACGTTTACATCTTTTGACCGAAGGACTTCAGATCGATGAGTCGAAAATAGACGAATGGTGAGCTACTTTTGATCGAACGATCAGTTTGCTCGCCGATATCAATCAACAATCGAACCGACTCTTGCCATCCTTCAATCGCGCGTATAACCTATTCGTCTATTTTTGGTCGATCGATCAAAGCTCGCCTAATGCAAACGCGGCTTTACGTTCTCGAGAGGCGATCAGAGCGCCGAGTACCGTTGCGCACGCGTATTTAGCCCGCGGCCCTTGCCCGCCTCGATGTGGATCGAGATCGCGTTTCAGCCGAACCGAGGCGAACCCACGCTTTCGCATTCCATACACTGTCGCGTATCGAGAAGGCCCTCAGGCCCTCTCCCCGCCCCCTTTATCCCTTTGGGGACCTACCTGCTTGCCCACGGAACGGTCAAAAGCGAAATCTCGCGACAATTCGCGTTTAGAGACTCGCTATGAATTCGTTAATGGATAAATAGATATATATATATAAGCGAAACGAATGAATTGTAAGTGTGCTACGTCGATCCTTCTTCGCTCCTCGCCCGTCTCGAAAATTACGATCATTTCGTTGTTCAGCGTGTATTTATCGAAATGACGGCCAATTCAGCGCGGTTTCCTTTCTTCCTGTCTGTTGCATCATGCGCGGGTTGCTTACATGGGAGAGAAGGTTGGATTTCGTTTTGGGATATCGTTCTCTTAAAAAATTTCTTTTTCTCGGTTTTTAACGGTATTATTTGATGAGTAAAAACGAATTTACGAATATATATCGATTCAAAATTTAGTCTTTCTAATTTAGTTTTCATCTAATTCATCTTTATTCGTTGAATATCGAATCGTACAATTAAAAAATCTATATTTCAGTTTTATTTATCGAATGCTATCGGGAAACGCAGAGTAAATTTAAAAGAAAGAGAATGCTCTAATGTTATCAAGTCGATCTTATCCAACCGATAACTTTCAGTTCTTTCTAGAACACCAATAGCTTGGCTTGACCTAACCTTACTTAATCCAACTCAATCTAAATACACCAAAAGTATCAAATTTCAAATGTTTTTGAATCAATGAGTTATATACGAATTCTTCGATACTCAAAACTGGTATATGCATCATTTATACCAATACATTTATACATGCTCGTCGATTATTAATCAGAATACGAGTTTTTTTTTTATCCCAAAACGAAAAGTTGTATATTCGAGGACAAACGCAATTTTCCGATCGATCATCACTCCGAACGAAGATCATGTTGCGTGGACGAAAAATAGGAAATCGGCAAAGGCTTGTTTTACGGGATATAAACGTACGTAGCGCAATTTGTAGCGTGAGAAGTAATTGGCGCACGATTCTCGAGAGTCGAGTTTGTAAATTTCACTCGTCGGGTCATTGTTTCCGATCTAGCTCGAGATATACGTCAGTTTGTAAAATAACCACGCGTAAAAGATTGTCGTTTTATCCACGTAAACTGTTACGCCTCTTTCTCGCCAACCGTTATCGTTCCTCGCGCGACATTTGCCCGAGTTCGCGGACTGCTTCTAAATAAACGGGACGCCATTACATAATTCTCGCGTTCCGTAACGCGAATCACGTTGCCACCGCGCACGCATCGAGAGTTGTAACTATCGATATCGTTATCGATAAATATCGATAATGGATAAAAATAACTGGAATTTCCATTTCTTTTTTTTCCCCCCCATTCAAAGTTATATTAGTTACAAGTTATATTAAGAAAACGTTATCTTAACGATAC